CTGCGCTTCTCCTAAACTCCTCTTGAGTTGCGAGACATGGATAACTGGGTGGATTTGTGAGCTTTCTGGTAACTCAAGGCGGTAAGCTACCTGACCAATGCGCTTTAAAATTTGATAAGGCCCATAATAGCGGACTCCCAGTTTAGTTGCGGCCCTTTGCGCTGTGGTACGTTGTCTAAATGGTCATAGCTTCAAGTAGACATACTCGCCTGGTACAAAATTTTCCTCACGCCTTTTCCCATCTGCGAAGGCTTTGGCTCGGTTAATTGAGCCTTCGAGATTTCTCTTTAGCTCACGTAACATCAAATCCCGTTCCTCTAGTTCTCGACCAACCTCATCGTTGATTGTACTCCCCTCCGAATAATTGATCAGTGTTGGGGGTTTTTGCCCGTACACCAACTCAAATGGCGTCGTCTTGGTCGATTCGTGGTAAGTGGTGTTGTACCAATACTCAGCCCATGGTAAAAAGTTTTCCCACCGCTTGGGAAATTGATGGACGTAGCACCTCAAATACTGTTCAAGGGTTCTGTTGGTGACCTCAGTTTGTCCGTCTGTCTGTGGGTGATAGGCTGAGCTCATAGATAATTTAGTCCCTTGCAACTTGAAGAATTCAGACCAAAAGCTGCTCATAAAAATCCGGTCTCGATCAGAGACGATGGATCGAGGTGCTCCATGTAGTTTCATCACGTACTCCACGAATAACCTGGCAATCGACTTCGCTGTGTAAGGATGGGTAATGGGTATGAAGTGAGCATACTTCGTGAGACGATCCACCACAACCATAACTCCGTCAAATCCATTAGAATTCGGTAGCCCCTCGATGAAATCCATGGTGATGTCTTCCCAGATTGCCTCGGGCACTGGTAGTGGTTGCAAGAGCCCACTTGGTCGTCATGAGTCAGACTTAGTATGCTGGCAATCATCGCATCGGGCTATGTAGTCTCGGACGGTACTCTGCTGCCCGGGCCAGAAGAAGGTGTTGGCTATTCTCATCCATGTGCGATAGATACCCGAGTGGCCTCCAACCTTAGAGTCGTGGAAGTGTTGCATAAGTTGTTCGCGTAACTGCCCGCTGTCGGGGACATAGACTCGACCTCCATGTAGAAGTAGACCGTTATGTAACTCGTAGTCGATGGCAGTTGTCTTTCCTGCTTCTATCGATTGGTGCAGTTCCTGACAATGGGTATCCTCTACTTGCGCCTTCCTGATTTCTTCCCAAATGGCCCAAGTAGGCCCAGTGATCGCACTCAACTCGGCCACGTCTGTTCGTCGGGATAGTGCGTCGGCCACTGCGCTCTGTCGACCTGGTCGATAGACTATCTCGAAGTCAAACCCCATAAGTTTAGACACGAACTTCTGCTGCTCGGGGGTAACAATCCTTTGTTCCAATAAGTGCTTGAGCGGTTGTTAGTCGGTAACAATTTGAAAACATCGTCCTAACAGATAAGGCCTCCAGCATCGTACAGCCTCAACAACTGCTAGCATCTCTTTCACATACACTGACAGACCCAATCGAGTAGTGCCCAGTGCCTTACTGAGATAGGCTAGGGGTCGCCCCTCTGGCACTAGTACAGCTCCAATTCCAATGTCGCTCGCATCGGTGTGTACCTCGAACAAGACATCAAACCTGGGCATGGCGAGTACTGGCGTTGTAGTCATGGCTTCTTTCAATTTTCCAAACGCTTCCTCGCTAGCTTCGGTCCATGTGAACCCGCCTTTCTTTGTCATCTCTGTCAGTGGCTTGGCGATGGTTCCATAATCTTTCACGAATTTCCGGTAGTAGCCCGTGAGCCCTAGGAATCCTCTCAACTGCGTGAGACTAGTTGGCTTGGGCCAATCGACCATAGCCTCAATCTTTCGTGGGTCGACCTTCACGCCCTCATGTGATATGAAGTACCCCAAATATTCAACCATCATCTGCCCAAAAGAACATTTGGACGGCTTTATGTGGAACGAGTTGGCTTCCAGAATTTCGAGCACTACTCTCAAATGCCCAAGATGTTCGCCCCATGACTTCGAATAGATCAGGATATCATCAAAGAATACCAGAACGAACTTACGCAGATACTCCTTGAAGATAAGATTCATGGCGAACTGGAAAGTGGATGGGGCGTTGCATAATCCGAACGGCATGACGAGATACTCATAGTGTCCCTGGTGTGTACGAAAGGCCGTCTTGGGAATGTCGGCTTTGTGGAGTCGAATCTGATGGTAACCAGCTCTTACATCGAGTTTAGAGAAATAGTGTGACCCGGCTAACTCATCAAGCATGTCATCAACACTTGGAATAGGAAATCGGTCCTTGATGGTTGCAGCGTTTAGAGCTCGGTAGTCAGTACAGAACCTCCACGTGTCATCTTTCTTTTTGGCTAACAGGACTGGAGAAGAAAACGGACTCTTGCTATGCTGTATTAGTCCTGATTCAAGCATCTCAGCCACTTGCCGTTCGATCTCGGTTTTCTGAAAGTGAGCGTACCTATAGGGATGAACGTGGATGGCATGTTGTTCGTTGATCAAAGGTATGCGATGAGCGAACTCCCGGTGTGGAAGTAGTCCCTTAGGTTCGCCCAGTACTCCCTCAAATTCCTGGAGAAGCTCGTGCACATCTCCCTGCTGTTGCTCCCCTGGATCTATGTGTGCCTCAGTCTTCTCCACTAGTACGAC